GAATGGATGCTGCAACATCAAATGTAGAAATAACCGCAGAGGCATCTGGTTCAAGCAGCTCATGGACCTGTGAATGTGTGCACAGCATATCACACAAGTCAAATTGAATCTCTGATATCTGCACAAACAGAACAATCTAATTCTCTCGTGGCACACGGACCCAAACTGCACTTTAAGAAGTTGACACAGGACCCTGCTGCAAACACACACAAAAAACAAACACCAGCCGGGCTGTAACCACAACACACACCTCCAGAAACATCCCCCACACCGTGCATGTGAAAGCCCTCTTATTTGGCTCAATTGTGATATTGCAACCTGCTTGGGAATCTAATTTGAGTGTGCACAAGTCTGTATGGAGGGAGATGAGAGCAGCTCGAGGCATCCTGAGATGAGAGCAAAATTGAACCAGGCATCAGCTGGTGAAAAGGCCTCACTCCATGATTGTAAATAAGCCTTCACAGGACCGGGCCATCTTCAGTCATTTATGCTGCCGAAAACCGATTCCACCCTCCTTGTTTTCCGATCTCTCCCTCTCACTCTTTCTCAGCTGAAGCAATCTCTCGGATCCTCCCCCTTTCCCCCCAGCTTGTCTCTATCCTCTCCCTCTACCTGTCTGACAACTGCATACTTTGGCAATCAATCTTGCGGTACTGGCAGCTGTGCAGGTACCTCTCAGAGAAAGGTTTGGTTTTCTACTTTAACAGGAAAGGCCTGACCTATAAAATAACAGAATTTACATAGAGGACACACACACACACGGAGCTGTGTGTTCCTGTCTAAATGGCTCAGGTGTTAATCTGTAGGTGAAATATTCAGGGTAATCAATCTAAACCACTTTAAAAGTCATCCACCTAAATAGAAACAGGCATGACCTCCAATTCCAAGAAGAAAGAAAAATATTCTTTGCTTTTAAATGTCCTGCACTCTTTCTGAGATTATATTCCTGTACTGTATGTCTCTTTTTGTGTCTAACCTTCTATAACAGGGGTCACTTTAGACACAAAGTTATAATCACTGATGTGAGAGATTAATATTAAATATAGTTGTTCATTGTTGTGTATATATATATATATATATATATGCATCTTACATTTGCATGTTAAAACTACTTTATTCAGTAATGCTCATCACACAGTCTTCTTTAGTTGTGAGCTAGATGGGAAGACAAACGGCACAACTTAATCAGATAAACTAACTATTGCACATGTAAACTTATCTCTTCAGTTTTTTGAACATTACACATGAGTCAAACAAACACAATTTACACATTTTATATTAAAGCCTACTGGGTTTGAAATAAAAACTGGATGGATTCAGAGTTAGACATGGAGCAACAATGTTGCTTTTGGATGCAACGTTACAAAAAAAAAAAATCTGCAATGAAAAACAGTCTTAAATAAGTACAAATAGTTACAAATAAGTAATTGATAATTAAAATAAATTGTTATTAGAAATTCTAACTTAAATAATTAAAGAACTAAATGAATTCCTATTTAATCTATGGCTATGAAGCATCGGTAGCTTTTAAAACAACTGCACAGACTGTCTGCATTCATTTGAATGAAAATGCGCTTTGAAAATAACCAATAATTAACAAAAAGAGTGACTAGGAGACAAAGAGAAAACATGCAGTGAAGGGAAAATAACCTGTTCATCCTATGGGAACTCATGCCATTCCCGGTCTCAACTGACTATGCAATGCACAGCACATTACTCACAAATTAACTTATTTATCCACGGAAAAGTAACTAGAAAAGTGCAGACCAAAAGCTTCCCACAAGCATGGCATCACAGGAGGCTGCTGTTGCATCACAAGGCTGGAGACTTTCCTCCAAACTTTCTCTCTTTGGTTTATAAATCTGCAGAGGTGGATTTGGTCCGTGTTTCTGGTCAGGGAGAGGCAGACAGTGTGTGAAAATACTCTCTCTCTGCTGTTGATACAAAAATAAAAATAGGCCTATTAACTTTTTGTGTGTCGGCTTAGTGCTGTGTGACCTAGAGGCGAGAGGAGATGAGCCTCTGCAGACACAGACTCCCCGAGCCTCCATCTCTCCACACTGAGGAACTCAGCATCTGTCTGTCCATGTGACATTCTGTGCTATTTACACAGCTGAACACATCTCTGATCTATTCGGCTACTTAATGGGCTGGATCCAATTTTAAGCATTGTATGGCAGCTTATTTTTATTACATATTTGATTTCATTTCAAGTTGCCTTTTATATTCTTATAGAGATCATTATTTTTCCCAACTTACAAAAATTGTCAAGGTTTCTTGCACCAAAAACGTATCTTAATTTAGCTTCACATGACCATTTTCCACCCATCAAGGGGCCTTTACCCTGACAGTTGTTTGCCAAAAAAGAAAAGAAAAGAAAAAGACTGGAAGTCATTTATTTTCAATGAAAGTAACTGAAATTTACCCAGCAATTTTGGGCAAAACTGGACCGCAAACCTCCAGAGATAAAATTAAGGTAATAAACAGTATAAAAAGTGTGCTACTGCATCTACTGTACCTTAAAATGAAACTGAGAGATTTATGCATTATTATTTTACAGAAGAGGGGCCAAGTAATAATAATAATAATAATAAAAACACTACACTAATATAATTTGTAATATCAAAACACAAGTGTAAACTCAAAATTGAATTTTAATCTAGTAATACAAAATGTTAATTTCAAAATGTAATGTTTATTCTAGGAATATGGTGGCATTAACTTCAACATTTTATTTGACATTTTTTCTTGAGTTTATTCTTAAGGCAAAATGCCTTAAATCTTGAGGAAAAAAATATTCTCAAAATTTATTTTATTTCACTTTTTTCCCCTAAAAAAAGCGAGTTTAATTTATAAAACCATTAAGGGGAAAAAATAACGAACCTTTTCAAAATGCACACACACACACACACACACACACACACACAGGTTAGATCTCCACTGTACACACACACACACACACACACACACACACACACACACATATTCTAATGTGACCATTATTATTTAAACATTCAAATTATGTCACTCCAATGCCAATATGCTGTTATTTTTAACAACATAACGGTGGGTAAATAATGACAGTGTTTTAATTTTAGGGAGAACAATTTTTTGCACATAAAAGGATCACTGTCTCTGAGGTTAACACTTGTAACCATAGTGAAGTGAACAGGCACTTGCAGGATTCCACTGAGAAGGCCCACAAACCCGCCTGTTGCCCAGGAATGGTGTGTGTGGTGCTGGTCGATGCCAGCACAGATCCTGGTGGTCTGCTGGTGGTCCAATCTGTACTATGCAATGCTGGAACCCACTGGAGTTTCCCGACGAGAATAGTTTAAGAAATATCATCATTTGTCACATGTCAGGGTTAGTGCTGCTTAACATAGAAAAGGTTTAATACAAAACGATAGGCTTTATGAAGCTATATTATAGACAACTTTATTCATGGATTAATTTATTAATGTATTTACATTTATATGTAATTTATATATATATATATATATATATATATATATATATATGAATGAACATAAACCATTTGAAAAAAATGAAGCTTAATAACTTGCGTTTACAAACATAATTTTTAATGGCAGGATCAGAAACAAAAAAAATAATGCTAGATTTGCTGCTCTGGTATTACATGTTGATCTTCCCTTCTTTTTTTTTCTCCACAGGAAACTCTTTGCTGTTTGTGTTGACACAGGGTTTTCCCTTCAGGGGATCCTGAGGGTACTCAAAGGGCAAAATAAATAAAACATAAAGAGCTGAAATTTTGATGGCATTTCTATTAACCAATTTCTAAGTAAAGATCTATTTGCATTTTATAATAAGTTTAATGTCCTTAATGAACGTTATTATAAAGTGTTACAGAGAAAATTAGCATTTTAATACTGGGAGTCCCTATTTTGGCTGAGAGTCTGGCTGGGGGGAGGCCTCTGGATCTGTAAAGATTGAAAAGCCCTGATGCAAACCACATGAAACATCTTCTGGGTAAATTATGATCAGGAAGGTGCCAATGGGCGTGTCCACATAATCAGCAGCACAAAGACGCCAATCAAACACAGCAGACAATTAACGCCGGAGGTCACGGGCATATTGGCAGTGTATGTGTGCATCACAGGGTGACCCTGAACTGAACAAAACCTTGTCACTCTCCAGTCCTGTACACAGCAGTCCCAAAGCATTCATGTCTGAGTGCTGGATGGCCCATGCTGACATACAGGACAGCCTATCAGCCCTGCTTTAATTATAGCCAGTCAGGAACCTGCACTTCCAACAGGCCTAAGACCTGTCCTGGTGAATTAAGCATGCAGCCTGGCCTCATGAATAGTGCATGCAGGTATGCTGCTTCTCTGATCTGGGAACAGAGGAGGTGACCCTCAGCCCAGCAGGAGAAACATACAGAGAAAGAAAGAGAGAGAGAGTGTGAATGAGAAAGCTGAGGCACAGGGGTGAGTGAATGTGTACACATGAGAGACAAAGCATTTGAGGGAACTATGAATGTTAATACTCTAAAATCTGCACATACATAATACAGTGTGCATGTGTGATCTGTAAGCACACACTACTGTATGTTTGTTTCAAAATTTATTGAGCATGAAAGTCACATACCATAATACTACATATTTTGTAAGCACAGAAATAGAGAGACATAGGTCGAAATGACTACCCTAATATACACTACCATTCAAAAGTTCAAGAAAAGAATTCAGCAAGGACACATTTATAAATACTAAGTACATCTATCTATCTATCTATCTATCTATCTATCTATCTATCTTTTTTACTGCATTTTCAATCCAATAAAAGCAGCTTTGGAGAACATACATAAGAGAGCAGGGAGCAGTTGTGGGTTTGGTGCCTTGCTCAAGGGTCTCACCTCAGTCGTGGTATTGAGGGTGGAAGAGAGTGCTGGTTATTCACTCCCCCCACCGACAATTCCTGCTGGACCTGAGACTCGAACCCACAACCTTCGAGTTACAAGTCAGACACTCTAACCATTAGGCCACAACTACTTGAATGGCCCTAATTAAATGCAGAAAAATAGGTACAATTTTTTTTCAAATGACTAGACCTGTCAAAATACCTAAATTGCTTCCACCCAACTAATAACACTCCTAGAATTTTAATAAAAACAACTTTTTGGATTGAGACAAATTTCTGTCACATCGCACTCAATAATCTTGCTCCCTGGGGGGCACAAATATATTTTGTCAGAATTAGGATATAACCTGCTATTTCAATGCTCCTTTCTGCGAGAAAACTGCAATTTATTTCCATTTATACAACAGTTATATTCTGTTCTGGAATCTGACTGGAAACAGTGTTTCAAGAGTGCTGAGATAAAATAAATAAATAAAAAAATACTTATTGTGTCTATTATTACTCATGTTGTGTCTAAAATTTAAGTTTCTCATTGTTAATTCTTAATTATTAGTTATGCTTAATTACACAGGGGTGCGTTTCCCAAAAGCATTGTTAGCCAACTATGGTCGCAATTTGCTTTTGGGAAACGCAACCCAGATGTGTTGTGTGCAAAAAGTGACCACTGACCTGGTCTCCAACGGGACGTTGCTGTTGAGCACCCAGCTGTCCTGCAGCTGCACTGACTCGGGTGTGGTGGGCCCTTCGCCCGGGGCGGACGGAGGGGCGTGGATGGGGTTGCGTCGGCCGCTCAGTGTGTTGCGGTTGAGAGAGTTGGCAGAGGACTGGTGGTGCGACAGCATCTGGTGGTTGTGCGGTGGAGGGATGGGCGGCCGCAGGGTGGACTGGCTGTGATGGTTTGGAGCTCCTGGGGAAAAATGATTGAAAAACCCTTTTATCAGACTGTCAATCAATTATCAGTTGGCAATGTCAAAAAGTGTGTTAAGCGATGCAGGAAATGCGAATGGAATAACGGCACTGTGAGGGTGAAGTGTAATCAGAATAAACATCAAATCAGGGACGAAAGGACGCTCTCAGTGATGACAGCCTGCCAAAGCTGTTTGTGTTGTTATTCTTTCTTTCCGAATTCACATGTAGATGTTCCGAGGCGGCAGGAAGCCCCTAAAACACTCAACCACCCAGCTTGTTAAGACGCTTGTCAGACAGGAAACTCCTGTCTTCTCTTTTTAAGCTGCGCTGGCGTTGTTGGATGCTGTGTTTTCGTACCTCATGAAGCAGCATTAATTGACGTTGTTTGGCTCAGTGTGATCTTTAATGCAGCTTGAATTCAGTGCATGAATCTGCAGGAAGCACCGGCTCTGTTTGACTCTTTTACCACAAAACACTTTGTACATGGACACGACTGTGGTGTGAGGCTCTTCACTTCAGGGTTGCTTTGTAAGAGGTAACCCTGTGGTGCTTGGAAACGTCTGGCATGTAATTTTAAAGCATAAAAGAAAACAAATCTCTCTATCATGTTACATTTATTACTCTTATCTATCAAAGGAAAACCGAAAGAGAGAGCGGGGAGGAGGCCAGACAAGAAGCATCAAACATGCTCCTAATAATGTTTTCCCATGAAACACGGAATAATGCAATAAAGATGAACCTCCCAATCCAAGTTTTCTCCCCACCAGCACTCAAAACCATTTCCATTTTCTCAGCCTGCCCATCTCATGCTTGTTGATCCATGACAGTTGCCTGAGAGCGAGCTCCACAGCCCGATCCCCCGTCTATTGCTGTCAGGACTCTGATCAGTACGAGCAGATGGGAACCAGGCCTACGAAGAGACTCACATGCTTACTACTAGGGCTGCACGATAAATCGCATGCGATATTTAATGCGCATCTTGTCAGTAAAGCCGCTTCTGTAATCAGCGGTAAATCTCCATCACGTGCGGGCTTTCACATTGAGCAGCATTTACTACACAGAGCCGTTGTTCACTGGCAAGCTGCGCAAAACCACATTCATAATCGTGCGATTTTTTGCGCAGCTTGCCAGTGAACAACGGCTCTGTGTAGTAAATGCTGCTCA